CAGAATATGATAATTTCCTGTGGTCTTGTGCTGAATAGAGGTTCAGCAGCCCTAAGAAGAAAGGACAGTAGTGAACATTTTGAAATGAAAAATGCTGCTTTGAATTTTTAATTCTCATAAGTTCATGTTTGCTATGGATACTGTGTTGCCTTTTGAGAGCTGCAAATTAAGTAGGATAAAATCCAAATATTTGATTACCACAGTCTTGAGCGGGGAGGCCTCTGTGTTATATTGGCTATAAGTATGAGGTTGGGAATTGATAAATGCAGTGGTCTTCCCTGACTCCTTTTGAAAATGGCATCCCTTCAGGGTGGAGCAACTGGTAAACAAAATGCCTGTGGGTGCTCTCACCTGCATAAGAATAGTAGTAATACGTTTATGCTTGCCTCAAGGTGATAATATGATTGAAAATAGTCAAAGGATGCAGAGTTGTTTAGAGTGCATAGACAAGGAAGCTAAAAACTAGGTATACCTGGATTCTGCTGTCACATGGGAAAAGCCTACGAGGTTCAGATCTTAAGTCCTTTATTCTGCCTTTGGCAGTAAGCAACATAAGTGCTTAGGGAAGTGTATAATAGCATAATAGGTAAGATGTCTTAATAGATAGTTGCTTAACATACTAATATTGGTATGGCACAAAAAGGAAAAGTCATTTTGTATTTTTACCCAAACAACTGTTATTGGGCATATAGCGAAGATACCAGTTTCCTTCCATAGCCACTGTTTGCCTTATCCTGCAGTCCACCAACCCAGTCTTAAGTTCTAGGTCTTTCTTCAAGACTGCATCGCATACCTCTTATAGACTTCTGTCCTTGACCCGATTGTGAAACCCAATTTCAGAATTCTGTACTTTAATTTCAAAGCTGAATTACATGTAACAAGGCTTCTTTTGTGTTCCTGATTGTATTTCTCATTAGTCAAGGTATCTAGAGCTCTTATCTTATGAGAAAATATTCAAAGTTTATCTACATAAGAGTTTGGAAAATCTAGACAAAAGAGTTCAAACTTAATTCTGAACCACAGATTAATCTAATGAAAAGGTGTGATTCTCCCTCCACCACCACCACTGTCTCTGTTCAGTACTCTTAGACATCCTCCAAAGAAACCATACCTGGCTTTAATGAAATGAGGTGAGAATTAATGGTGAACACCTTTGTGAAATGTCATAGCTATAAATGAAGATTAGAATAAATATGGAGAATAATCTGAAATGCGCCAGGAACACGAAGAAACAAATCTTATTTGGACCTATGTATCTCTTTCCACCTCTGTTTTCCCCTTCCTCCATCTAAAAGTTCCTGTTCTCTAGTGTCTGCTAGTTTTGCTGATAGTAGTGATCATTAAAGATATAAGGGTCACATTTCACCTGCAAGTGACCAGTGAGGGGCCTTAATTAGTCTATATTTTCATGAATTACTTGTCCTGATGGATGTTTACAGCCATTTTCACTTGTGCTTGGTCTTGAAGTATTCTTTCCATTGCAACAATTTATTTGGAGAAAGTGGTTGAATTTTATTTTTCCTCAAACTTTGGCTTGGCTTTTCATTATTTGTATTTGCCCATTGTGAGGTTGAGTGGCAATGAAATTTTACACGAATGCTTTTTGTTCTTGAAAATTGTCTAATAAATCTTGCATTTGTGTCTTGCTTAGTCCTGCCTAATTAAAAATTGAAATGCCAAAAAAATAATGTGTATGCAGAAATAGTTAGGCATGGTTTGGATACTTTGAAGTAGAATTAAAATATACAGCACATCCTTTGGAAATCTAACTTTTGGGTATAAGAAAAGAAACTTGCCATGTCTTATAAAGATATTTTTTGATCTGTAAACTACCTGGTTTGTATAAAAGAACGTTTTAAAACAAATAGCAATTTATATTTTTAGTTGCCAGTGTGT